AATGAGTTTCACATTTCGTTCTATATACATCGCTTCCTTCACTTCCTCCTCGTCTGCCGCTACTTTCGGCATATTGGTCTATGGCTCCTCCGTCTCCAGCAAAGACTGTGGCGATGAGTTGAGGTGATGGGAATCTTAGGAGATGGGCGAAGTAGTTTTTGCAAGGTAAGCGCTGGGTATAGAACTCCTTGTGACGACTAATTTATTGTAGAGCAACTTGACCTCCTGAAATTCTCATAAAAAAGCAGTAGCCGGGTATAGCGTTTAGAGCTGGTCAACAAAATGCAGCTACTTGAGGCAAGATTTCAGATACTTTAAATTTGATATTCTGCAGCTACACATAACTCCTTATACGATCTCATAAGTTTGAATTTGAGTGACTTAAAGTGCTCAGCCGGGTAAGGAGCTCAATCTGTTAAGAGTACGTTCTGCGCCCTTTGCTTCTAGTTACTATCATGAACCGCTTGATGATATTGCGTTCATTCAACAAAAAGGGCTCTGTTGTGGCGCCTTTGACAGTTTCACCTCCTGCCATAATATGATCATCATGTTTTCGCTTTTGAAGAGCTCAACCATTCTAGATTTTTTCCAATAGACAAGCAAAATGGCGACAACTCAACGAGGAAGCAGCGGCTCATAGAAAGGGAAGAAGAAAAAAAATCCACCTGTTTAGAGATAGTTTAGTTAGACCTAATAAGCTATGGTCCGTATCCGGCGTAGTCCTCACTCGTCACGCCACTTCACCTCCTTCTATAATTGTCACCAGGGCTCGACACTAGGTTTTCGGGGGCAAGATGCAAATCGTTTTTGAGGGGAGTAGCAGACGGAAAGTCATACGGGGTGGGATTCTTAGAGTTCGTAGTTCCTTTTTTTCGCCTTTCCTACTGCTTAATTTACAAGCATTTCGATAGCCCCTTTCGCAATACTTTTATCATCATGAAATCAAAGCACCTTTCTTCCTTGCTAAGGCCCAAAATCGTTATAATTTAGTGAGGAAAACGCGCTCCATGCAAACAGTGCCGAGGCCTGGTCGTTATAGTGTTCTGATTTTCTCATATTTTAACTTGGATAAATGCACCAGTAATGGGCCTCAATTAGTAGAGTAGGGAAGTGAGTTATGTTGTAAGAGGAAACTCCTTGTCATGAATCATACTTAGCCCTAGGAATTTTTCTCAAGTTTTTCTCAACTACGTAATCTAACGCGGCCGCATATTGCAATCACAATATCGAATATCACATCTAATATGAATATCTATTTTTGTCAACTAAGGTAGAAACATCCGTTGTACATACGGTAAGTTCAAGTTCTCAAAGAATTACTAGCCGAAACGTTATTTAGTGTTTCCTTGAGGCACTTATATGATTTCTTACGTTTAGATCAAGAAAGACGTACATGTTGATGAAACAATCGCCATCTCGCAAAAGAGCGCAAAGAGTTAATTGGATATCAAACTCTACAACCAGTTGCACTCGTCAGATAGCAGAATCGCAGTTGTAGTCCCGTCCGAAAAGGTAATATTTTTAATGTGAGATTGCGTAGATGCGATAATTTCCCAAACCTTGAAAAAAACCAGCTTGTGAAGTTGTAGCGGATATCCCATCATTTCATCTGCAGTGCTATTCTATGGAGAAATCTCTGTCATAGTAGCTGTAGCTGCTAATTATTTCTAATCAAACTATCGGTCTTTTTCAAAATGACGCATCTCTCGGTGCAAATACATATTATTTGATTCTATTAAGTACATTAAATCCGATTGTCTCCATTGTTTTCAAATAAAAAGTTAACGGGGTTCATGAAGATGTTTTTCTGCTTTATCTAAGAAATGTGGTGATTTATTGACACAGACTTTATATATATAACATATAAATGATATAGACAAAAAGAATGTACAAACTGCAAAATGATTTCTCGCTTCAGTTCTATGCTGCTTTGCTATTCATTAGATTATTTTCGTTTAAGTATTTTCATTTGAGTATTTTCATTTCGCGCTGTGTGCTCTGCCGTTGTACAATTGCGCCACTGGGTCCAGTTGTCCTGCTGTCTTTTCGCTTGTACTTCTTAGTTCTTCGGTTGTGCTACTAGGCTCCTCGGTAGTGCTACTAAGTTCCAGGGTTGTGCTAATAAACTCTTCTAACGTGCTGCTGAATTCCTCATTTGTGCTTCTGGGCGCCTCGGTTGTAGTAATAAGCTCATCATTTGTGCTACTAGGCTTCTTGGTTGTACTACTGAACTCTTCTAACGTGCTGCTAACTTCCCCATTTGTGCTACTGGGCGCCTCAGTTGTAGTGCTAAGCTCATCTGTTGTGCTACTAGGCTCCCCAGTTGTACTGCTAGGCTCCAAAATTGTGCTACTAGGCTCGTTGGTTGTGCTACTGAACTCCTCTATAGTGCTAGTGGTCTCCTCGGTTGTAGTACTAAGTTCATCAGTTGTGCTGCTAGGCTCTTCGGTTGTGGTAGTAAGTTTATCAGTTGTGCTACTAGGCTCCTCGGTAGTGCTACTAGGCTCCTCGGTAGTGGTACTAGGCTCCTCGGTAGTGCTACTAAGCTTAACGGTTGTGCTACTAAGCTCATCTGCTGTGCTACTGAACTCCTCGATTGTGCTGCTAGGTTCCTTGGTAGTGCTACTAGGCTCTTCAGTTGTGCTACTGAGCTCCTCAGTTGTGCTGCTAGGCTCCACGGTTGTGCTACTAGGTTCCTTGGTTGTGCTAAGGAACTCTT